TTACTCTGCTTTTCTTGGGAACAGGCAAAATTTGGCATTCTCTGGTCCTGTACCCTCCTTTAGAGAACAGTCCTCTATTGGAAGACCATCCTTTATTGAAAGGAATCTTCTGTTGAAATGATTAGCCAGTTCAAGGCCAGCCGAAAGGTGACAAAACCTTAAATGAATGAATGAGTGAGTGAGCAAGCGAGCAGTTGGGGGATCGAAAGCTGACAGCTGCCTGAAGCTGTCCAGTGAGGTAGATGAATAGCTGAGTGAATAAGCACACAGGACAGCTGGCCACAGTCCTCCCATTATTGTGAGATGCATTGTATTGCTATTGTTTATTTGACTGATTGAATTTTTTTTTGTCCCATTCCAGATGACTCTGGGCAACTTTACAAAATTAAAACAACACAGGACAAAACAACCACAGCAATCATTCAGGGAGCAAAAATTCTCTCCATATTCCTCACAATGCATGGGCCCATCCACCCATCTAACCCAAGGCCTGCAGGAAAGGCCAGGTTTTTAAAGTGTACTTAAAGATGGGCAAGGTGGTAGCCATGTGGATCTCTAGGGAATATTGTTGGGGCAAGTGCCCCAACAGAGATGGCTTGCCTTCTAGGTCCCACTAGGTGATGTTGTTTGATTGAGGGGACCTAAGCAAACCAAACCTGCCAGAACACACAGGATAGGCAGACATTATGGAGGCACGTGGTACTTCAGATAGGTAGGTCCTATGCCATGTAGGGATTTATAGGTAACAACCAATGCCTTAAATTGCACCCAGAAGCTAACTGTCCATCACTGCAGCTTGCATAGAAGGGCTGTTACATGGCTATAGTGAGGCTTACCCATCACTGCTTGTGTTGCATTCTGGACCAGCTGAAGCTTCAAGGCCAACCCTACGCAGAGCAATTTGCAATAATCCAACTGTGAGGTGACCAAAGTATGAATGGCTGTGAGGACGGCCTCTCTATCCAGGAATGGGAGCAGCTGCTGCACAAGTTGTACCTGTGCAAGGGCCTTCTTGGCCACTCCTGCCACCTGCACCTCAAGCAAGAGTTGAGAGTCCAGAAAGATGCCCAGATTGTGCTCCAGTCTCAAGTGAAGCCATGCCACCCTGCTCAGGACTAAAGATGGAAGATTCCCAGCATTGGATAAGCCAAACACCCACAATCATTCAGTCTTGTTACAGTTGCTAAGGCAGTTTCTCTCCATCCAGTCCCTTACAGCCTCCAGGCACTGGGACAAGACCTAGAAAGCACTTTTTATTTAGCCAGGGGTAAAGAAGTACAAAGGGATCTGACCATGACAAAGGACTGATGGTAATGTCCTCCACCTTCAAATCACATTGCAACTGAGGCAAAACTAAGCTAGTGCATGACCTCCAGTCTGCATCAGGTCCTCAATAATTTGGGACAGGTCCATGGTTGGCATGATGGCCATGAACTTCTGAACTTCCCTAGACTCAGTGCTTCTTGGAGACAAGTTAAAATCCCCAAGGACCATCAGTTACTGACATCTCCTTAGAAGCAGCAATCAACTTTTAATATGTAGTGCAGATAGATGTATCTGTTAGAAGTGATTGTACCAGCAGTGAGATCTAGCACAGTACTTTCCAACAGACTATCCATGTAAAATAAACAGGACTTTTATAATAAGCTAAGTGAATTCTCTTAAGAGAAGAACATGAAAAGCATTTTCATACAGTAGTGAAAGAAAGATCTGTAATCCTGCAATATTTTGTGAAGACTAAGGTGGGACATTCAGCCTGACTTCTGAAAGTGGGAGAGAAGGGTAATAATTTTTGCATGATTCATTCAAACTTCTTTTTCCCAAGATACCATTCAGTGTTCTACCTTTCCTTTTTTCAAGCCAGGTTTCTGTTGGAATAAACAAATGTGTACCAGACTAACATAACATCAGAGCAAACATGGGACTGACTGAGGGGCTGATTATTTTTGCTAGGCATTTCTGTTCCAATTCTATTAGGTTATTTAATAATTGATATCATTTTTAAAGTAAGAAGTAGAACCCAATGCCAAAATCCTTCAGAAAGTGTTTTCCCCTCAGCAAAACAAAACAATAACTGAATTGAAATAATGTACAAATTGTTGCTTATTCATAACTCACCTGATCAGCTCATTATGATCCTGAGTAGGGCATGTTGGACCAGAAATTCTTCATGTGCCTTCTAGTTCTTCAGAATGACAACTCATCCAGAATATATTACTTGTATTATACCTGCAAAACCAGGGGTATGAAAGCCCTAAATGGACAGGAGGAGACATCTGCTCTATAATAAATCAAATGATACCAAAAGCCAGGATTACAAAAAGAAACTTTATTTTAATTAAAGAAATAGAAAGCTGGCATATTGCAAAGCAGCCAGTCAGCCTCTAGATATATAGACTTCAAATCGGAGCACTATATTTCTTTCCAAGAATGCCTTCGGACCCCAAATTGGCTCCAAAACTTTCTTAGAAAATGAAAATATCTGTTTGCAACTTAGTGCTTTGTTTGGAAGTATGCCCAACAACCCAAAAAGGAGACAAAGGTGCATGGAAGTAGGGAGAAGCATTATGCAAAGGGTGTGCGGTAGAAAGGACAACTGAAACATTCTTTGAAATCAGTGATTAGGCAGAGATTCAAGGGCATAAACATTCCCCCCCCCCATGCCTTTGAATCAGTATTGACTCCTGACAACTGCCTGGATAGGTCCTGGTCTCTAGCCTGGTGCCTTAACCACTACACCGAACTGGCTCTCATGAAATCTATGCTTATGTTTAAATTACAGTAAACTATTCTAGAATGTATATTTATAAAGATAAGTTAGCAAATTATGTGGAATAGTCTTGTTCCTTGGCATGTTTAAAGTGGTCAATCTACCATTAAAGAGGGGGTGGGAAAGTTGTGGATAGTTCCCAGCACCTCAGCCAGCACAGTTAAAGGTGTGATTTGCTAGGAGCTGAAGTTCAGCAATATCTGACTCTACAGGCTACCATTCCTCTTTTAAAGCCTCAAATATTCTGTGAACAGAGCATTTCAGAAAATTATCCCCAAGAATTGTACTTACTCCACCTGCCACTGAACATCAGATGGATCCTCTTACCCAATTATAGCACCTAAAATTTGGAATAGATTTTCAAGACATTTCTGACCCTAGCAGGGCTGACTTTTAGACAAACAATAATAATTACTTTAATTCAACATATTACTTTTCTAGGATATTATTTTTCTCAAATTTTTGACAACTTGTATTGCTGTAATTGTTCATTTATCATTGATGATTACAAGTTAGTTTGTATATTTAATAGAGAAGGACAGGAAGGAAATCAATAGTGTGAGAAAGCAGGACTTCAAACAGTAATTTTAAATGCTTTTGGGGATGCAAACTATTTTTATGGCAGATAGATTGTAAACCAAGTGTGTTTTATGCATTTCCTCAAAATGAAGAAGGTAAAAACTCTGCCATGAAAATGTTCCAAGTAAATCCCAGGTTGGCCAAGTCCAAATATCTGTGGTTTCTCCAGTATGCTCATATTTCAGATCCAAATGATTAAATCTTCCCCAGGAGTTTCCATAAGCCAATGCTTTTAGAATGAAATCTCCAAGCAGTCAGCTATATGCTGTAAAAGGTGTGATTTCAGCACGCGCTTCAAGCCAAATCATGTATTATAGCCATTTGTCCTGTTCCTCTCTCTTCTGAGGCTACATGGATATACACACATACATCCAGTACAGCCAAAATAAATATAATATGAAGAGAATATTCAACTTCAGTTGAGATGGAGGAAGAAAAGGGCTCAGCCTTCCATCTCCATGTGTTGTAGTTCAGATGAAAGGTAGGTCTGCCTAAACTCACTTATTTTTAAGTTTGGTATGACAGCTAAAGGCATATTACTGAGTTCAGCCCCAAAGGATGAGACATTGAATCCTTCTATATGAGTTCAAAATGGAGCAAATATCACAGACGACCTTGTATTGTATTAACTTTATTACAGTCAATTAGACCAGTACAATATTAAAAGAAAAGGAAAGACATGAAATATGTCCAGTCCAAATAAGGGATTATATATCCAAAAGTATGCTAGTCAAGGTACTTGTCAGTTATAATT